AAATTATCTATTTTGTTTAAGTTTTCAAATGTAACATAAAAGTATTTGAAGCACTTCTCATTTTTATTGATCTGTGCTATATCTATAGTTATATACCTTTTTCATTCCAAAGTTTGTGCCTTTAAAAAAAAAGAAAACTCAATTGTGCCTGTGGTTTATCTATTTTATTATTTCAAAATAACTATTTTTAGTTTGTTAATCCCCTTATATATTTGCTTTCAATTTCACTACTTTCTACTCTTTTATTATTTTCTTTCTAGTATTATTATTATTAGACCCAACTAAGATGGGTCCTATACTGGGCCACAAGCTCTGGAAGGTCCTGAATATCCCAAACAATGAAAAAAAAATAGTATTAAAAACATTTATTAAAGATGATGTGGATATGTCTGTCACTCTGGATGTAACTCGCATTCTGAAATGCAATATTTTCATTATGATTCAGTTCTATTTTTCAGTGTACATGATGATTTCTTCTTTGACCCATGAGTTACTTAGATACACTTTAACATTTCCTGATATACAGGTGCTTTAGGAATCTTTGTTGATGATCTCTCTCCTGCACACATTTCAGAGTGATTTCATCTGAGGGGCAAAGATCATTTGTGGAGGGCTGATCCCAGACTGCTACACGTATGTAGCTCTTTGCCTCTCAGGCAAAGAGCTACAGCTATGGGCAGTAGGAAGCTGGCCAGAAAAAGTCTGAGGGATATTCGTGGGGCACTGACAGCCTCTACTACACTTTTCCCCAGGTTATCTAATTTATTCATTTCTAGTGTACTCTTTTGTTATTTCATTCTTATACCTCTCTTTCTTTATGCCAAATATAACACATAACACTGTTCTGCACCTTACTTTTTGTCATTTAATATATCTTGGCAAGCCATTCGTGAGAGTACACGGAAAGCTTCCTCCTTCAGGTTAATGCTGCACAATATCTCATTTTAAGAATGTAATATTTTATTTACCCAGTCCCCTTTATGAAAATTAGGCAACCATAGTTTCAAAGCCACTTTACCACTCTAATTTCTAGATCCTTCTTCATCTGAGGCTGTACGGAAAGTAAAGATAAATGGTCAGGGTCCCTCGGGGGTTCAGAGTCTTGCCAAGCATTGAGGTAAATATGCACATGCACCCAGGTGTTCCTTGGTTATTGTCCAATGTAATTGCACATGTGCACCTAGGTAGGTGTTCCTGGGTTGTCTGACTTGCACCCACGTATCCTGGGTTATCAGAATTAAGTATAAAGAATGAGTGGCTCTGACCCACAGGGTGTACCTAGCCCCCTCCCCGCCCCCCGCCAAATGCTCCCGGGGGGGCCATGAAGAGGCTGCTACTGTTGCTGCAAGCTGTTGCTCCCAGTCCCCCTGGGATGCCCTGAGAGGCCACCACTGCTGCTTCTGCCACTGAGGAAGCTGAGGACTGAGCTCATGTATTCTGCCAATGGCTCCTGGGATCTTTCCCAATTACTTAGCTCATAGACCTGCATGTGAGGGGTCTGTGACCCAGTCTATACAATGGGTTTGAAGGGTCTGTGGGCCCTAGTCCTAGCAATACAGAGGCCCTTATAGATTTTTTTTCTTACTTTGCTCAGTTATAGGCTTAAAAGGAAGTTACAGTAGTTATATTTTATGAAGCATTTCTAGATGACTGAGAAACAGAATTTTTGGGGGGTGACTTGATAGCTATAGTGTGCAAAATTGAAGTCTAATTTGGGCTCTTTCTAGCCTTCCATCAGCCATTTGTGGCAATCCAAGTATTTTGTCCTCATACTCATATCATAGTTGCGGACATCACGACCACAGTCAAATGCAGAAAAGGGAAGGTGGTTTTCTTCTTTTACAGGTCAAACTAAAAAAAAAAAAACCACTTCACTAGAAGAATCCCCAGAAGTCATCCACTTAACTGTAGTTTTGGTTGCGGACATCACGACCACAGTCAAATGCAGAAAAGGGAAGGTGGTTTTCTTCTTTTACAGGTCAAACTAAAAAAAAAAAAAACCACTTCACTAGAAGAATCCCCAGAAGTCATCCACTTAACTGTAGTTTTCCACAACCTGGGGACTGACCAACCCTAGTTGCAAGGAAAGTTGGAAAAACTTGGCAAAGGATAATGACATCATCCTGGCTGACTAAGGTCAATCTTGATTCACAGCCAGGTGCTGGATACTTCGCTACCCCAAAGATATCTGTGATTCTGTTAACAAGGAAGAAGAGCTGTTAAGTGGGCAATGATCAGCATCTGCCGCAATACCTCAGAGGAAACAAAAACTGTAATTGTAAGCATCTGAGGGTGAAAACATGATTCTAAATAACAGTGATTCTTTCAATTCAGTTAACATATTACAGAAAGAAAAATGAATGAAATATCCTTGATGCCTATTCTAAGGTACGTTCTAAGAAAGTAGAAATGCTTGATCCTAGGACAAATGATTCACACATGTCAGAACACAAAATTTAAAGCCTTCCCTCAAGCCTCATCCTCAGAAAACTTTTTCTGCATCTTCTGAAATTTCCAGAAAGCAAAGCCTTAAGTTTCTTAAGAATTACAATTACCAACTACTTTTGAGAAAAATAACTTGTTGAGCTTTCATAATCTATAGTAAAACTGAATATCTATAATGTGAATCATGATGTATTCTTTTAGGTGTCAAGATAAAAAGCAGAATCAAACTGATTAATCAGGCTGAAGCATTTATTCTTCTAATAATAAAATGTTTTTCAGATAACAAGCTTATAACAATAACAACTACATGTACAGAAGCTAAGAAAAACAGCATATGTACCTACATTCAAGGTCTTTCTCATCAGACACATTCCTAATTTTTCAGAGTTGGCAATATTGGTGTTTAATCATTTTACCTTTATAAACTTTGATGATTTCATTTGCCAAATGTACAAAAAGAATAAATAGAGAGCAAAAACTTTTCATATCTTTAAAAGTCTCCACAGAGATTGATATATCCGAAGTAACAAAAGGATATTTTTGCATGTCAATCTAGGATTGAGTGAGCATATTTTTTAACTTAGTGTAAATTTCAAGCTATTATCTTTCTAAAAGTATTCAAAAAATTATTTGGTAATGAGTAGATAAGTTATCATTGGTCAAATATAACTGTAAGTTAAAGTGGTGAGGTATGTCTTTGGGTGAAGTCTGATTAGATTAATACAGTTAACTACACAGATTAAATTGACCTTGAAATATGACAGACACCATTCTTGGGCACCGGAGGTTATGGCTATCAGAGATAAAACTGTACCTTATGATCTTTCAGAGATCCGCCCCCCAAATAAGACTGCTTCAACGAACACTTATCCTCAAATGTTCCGGGCTTCAAAGGGGGTGGAGAAGCCATGTGCACAGAAGTGTTTGTTCACATGCTATCCACATACATATATTTGTGATATAATAATGTAATTCTGGAAAACTGCATAATCAAAATGAAATCAAACAGCAGATATAGAAATGGTTCATTTCAATGTTCAAATCGCTGTAGAAATTTATTATATTGAATGGTAATGTTAAATGAAAATGTGACATAAAGTCAAATGGATTACTTGACCTTAACTAATATAATATACAATTGGTGCTGTGAAAATCCAATGAAATGAGATGTGAAAGCAACTATAAACAGTCAGATTTTAACACAGCTATGGTCCTACCTTTACAACTTCTATATCGATACATTCATGGAAATTTCTCATACTATTAGTGAATCAACAACATTCACTTAGTGATATCAGAATATAAAATATTAAATTATGTAAAGAAGATTACTCTTTAGATTTGAAAAATATAAAATTTTCAATATGCAGTAAAACAGCTTTTTGCCTTTAAAATTCCCAGCAATGTGACTTGAGTACTCACTGCTATACCCATCTGATGATGTGAATTCTCAGAGATGATGCATGGTTTTCATGCACAAAATGGGTTATTCTCTGAGTACCTCAAATTACCACTAAGAACAGCAACCTACATTTAAATCACAAACTGCTGTCTCTCTTTTGGCTGGTCCACTTTAGAAGCAGCAGATGTGTATGGCTGCTGGAGCCAAGGTGGGCACCACAGCTTGCAACATGCTCTTAATCTAACAACCTGTCTGCACTAACTCCATTCATCCTCAGCTTGGCACTCCTAACTCACACCCAAACCAACACAGTCCCACACACAGGGGCCCAGAATGACAAGAACATCAGATGTGCAAACCACTGTAAGACAGTCTTCCATTATTTAATAATCGCGAGACACACAGGAGTACATATGAATAAAGAGGAAAAGATTTTCAACATTCTACCTGTCCCCCCTAAATATATAATCAGTATTTCCCCTCCATCTTTTCAGTGTATCCCATAAAGCTCTTCAAAATAGAATTCTCTAGTTCATAGTTCTCACTTCCTAACAAATCAGAATTCAGAATTGAGGTCTGTGTCCCCTAAATCCATTCATCCTTCAAAAATAAGTCAAAGGTTAACAACTCGATAAAGCTACCTCCAGTGTGTCATAATCAAAATCAACTTCTCCATCTTTCATACTCTCATTGCACTTGCATGTCTATCTCTGCCTCAACAGTCTTTAAAGTCTTGGTCATATCCATCTTTTCAACCCTGGCTCCTAAGTACAGAGAAGACACAATTAACTCAACAGTATACTCACTAAAAATGAAGCACTGGAGGTTATGGAACCAAAAAAAAAAAAATCCAGTGTGCCCAAGATCAACTCTCATTTCAGGCCAAAAAAAAAAAGTCACCCACACCCACACAGGTGCACATGATAAAATCACAAGACAAATGAAAAAAGACATATAGTTCTAAACGAGGCCACTTTTGTACTGACCCAGTGTCCTTAAGAGTGTGAGTGCACTCCACTGCACTGCTGACTCTAAAGGAATATCTACTGAAGTCATAATAACTAATTCCATAGTTGGAGAAATTCTCAAAGATGCCATAGAGAAGCAACATCCTAGTAACAGCTATACTAAAACAAGCTTCCTGAGTTCTTACCTGTAATGCTTACTGGTGGGAATGTTCTGAGAGAAGTATAAAGCTGAAGTCCGTGCTCTCCAGTGCCATTTCTTTGCAGGAAGGGTGTAAAGGACACAATCTTCTAACTCTTCTTGGAGCAGATCCGCCAGCTGTTTATGGGATCCTCCATAGAATGCCTCAATGATGAGAATACTCATTGACCCATTCAAACCTTCAGATTCTAGATAACAACCAAAAAAATGTATACTTTTTTGAACATATACATATATTTAAAAATTTTAATAAAAATAAGTTAAAATTTTACACTCAGAAAGAAAATACAAATAATTTATAGTCACATTATTTTTTTAAAATAGGCTTATCCCACTTTTTAAAAAAAGTATATAATATTTGATGTTTATATTTTTGTAATCAATATTTTTATATCGTTTGTCTTAATAAAAGGAAATAAAGGTGTCCTTATTTTCCTGATTTCTGATTACTTCCACTATGATCCTCCTGCCCCAGGAAGCTAAAAGCTCTCTCCTGCTGTGATCACTTATGTCCTAAAATAAAGGTGTCCTTATTTTCCTGATTTCTGATTACTTACACTATGATCCTCCTGCCCCAGGAAGCTAAAAGCTCTCTCCTGCTGTGATCACTTATGTCCTGCGTGGTTCGGCTGTGAGCCTGATTCAGAAACCTCAGAACCTCCTTGAACTAGTTCTGGATAGTCACTGAGCCCATCTCCTAACAAAGACTTCCACTCCAAGGGCCCCTCATTTGTAAGGCCCTTTCCCATTCAGAAATTCTCTGATTCTCTAACTCTCATATTCATCTATCCTTAAATTCGCCAGCTATAATTGCCACTAATGAATCTATACATAAAAGAAAGCACATTCAGATTCAAATCTCGATTTTCTAGTGTTAAAACTTTAAGGTACAATTTCTTGAAACACCTTGATTACTTCCCCACTAATTGTCAATATCCTACTCCCAAAGGAACAC